GCCTGAAGGCTGGTGAAGGAGAACTTAACGGTCTCCTCTCAAACTCTCCTGCATGCTGAAACCATTCCCTCAATTCCTAGTGGAAAGCTGAAAATCAGAAATTTTAGTGGGAAGGGGTCATGGATAAGAAGGAGAGATTGGGAGAGGACAAAAGGATTGGGAGGGGGCACTGGGTAATGAAGAAACAGGAAAAGGGAGAGAAGAGCATCTTTCTCCTTACTCCCTCCCCCCAGTTGAGGAGGCAGATTTACAGCTTTGGTCTGGGGAGGGGAGTGAGCATAAGGAAGACAGATCTGCAGTTCTGCCCTCTGAGTGTCTGGGTACTTAGCTTTAACTCCCCCATTAGCATCAATCCCCATCTTGCTGCCCATCCATCTTCTGACATCAGCTCCTTCCCCTCTCTGCAGCCCAGGCTTTCTGACCCTAAGTGGCTCTTAAAGGGCCAGTCTAGACCCTTCTCTCCCTCCCTCCTCCCACTCTAGGCAGCACAGTCTGGTGTGTGTGTGTGTGCACGCACGCATGCGTGCCATACGGACTGTGGCCATCCCTGCTGCCGAGGCCATAGTGGATGGAAGGCATGGTGGTAGTGGTAGGCGCTCTTCCCAGCTCTCTCTCTCTCTGCTCTCCTTAGACCTCCCTTATATCATGAATCCCCATCTTTGTTCATTACCTATTCAAGCCCAGAGCAAGCGCTCTGACTGGGCTGGGAGTCACAGACACATGGCTCCTGGTGCTGAGGGCTGGAGACAGTATGCTGGACTATGGGGCAGACCCCCCTCTTCCTTCCTCGTTTAATGGAAGCTCAGGGCAAGGGGTGTGAAAAACTACTGGCTGTTTTCAATTCTCAGCCAGCAGTGGAGGTGGACAAGTTGGGGGCCAAAACTCCTAGGAGAAGCCCTAAGCCCCACATTCCTAGCCTCCTCTCCCAGGGATCCAGGCTGTGGTCTGCGTAGGGTGGGGGATTTCAAATCTCCCTCTCCCTGTGCAGGGGTGGGTGGGGAGTGGGGGTGGTGACAGGCTAGAAAACTGCCTCTGAATTTCCTGGCTCTTCTCCCCTACCCCTTGGTAACTGAGCTTAGGCGAAACAGAGGGGAAGTGGCTTCTCCCCATTTCCCTCCATCTTCTGTAGAAACGCTGTAACTGTACTCTAGGGGCTCTAAGAATTCCAGGATGATTGCAAAGTTCCTTTCCCATCTGCCTTCAATCCTTTCTGCTGCAAAAGCTCTGCAGTCCTCTGAAGAACTCTCCAGGATAGTTGAACCCCTTTCCTGATATCTGAAACCCACTCCCCACCTCCCTCAAATGCTCCATTCTATGGCTCAAGATGAGAGGGAATGAGTGGGTGGGGGTCTTGGGAAAGTGGCCATGCAAAAAATAGGAGCCCCAGCTGTACCCCCCAATAGCCCCTTATTTATCACCTTCCAAACATCACTCCCAAAGAAGCATGAATATTCCTAATTCCTGAAGACCAACCCTGAACTCATAAATTTAACTGGAGAGGTAGGCAAGGGGGAGGAGTGAGGTGTATGGAATGGGGAGTCAATTGCAGCCTTGATATAGGAGAAAATCTCCTGGGGGAGGCGCCTGACTTGTCCCCATGCAGACGCCAATGGGTCTTCACAGAGAAGAGGAGGAGGAGTTGTTTCAATATTTCCTCTAGGGATTAGTCTTTTCTCACTGAACTTCCCCCACCCCCCCTAAACAAGCAAAAACCAGCCTTAGTTCTGATCTGTATCCTTCTCCCTCCCTCTTTTCTTGGCTATTACCTTCCAGTTCTCCTTTCCTTCTCATTCTTTTTCACCTTTCTATTGCGCCTTCTCTATGTCTTTGCTCCTCTAAGCCCCTTTTCAGAGCCGTTGTCTGAAGAGGAAATTTCCGTCTCTTATTCTGTCTGGATAGTGAGGTTTGGGGGAAAAAAAAAAAAGTTCCTCTCAGTACCCGAATCTCCCTGCTTCGGCCCATCTACCCCTTCAAATACACCCTTTTCTCTTCAGTTTCTCTCTTCTTTATTCCCCTCTTACTGCCCCCCTCCTTTCCTTCTCAAAGCTCTCTCTCTTCCTCAGTCTTCTTTCCTTCTCAGCCTTCCCCTTTCTTTCACCTCTTTTGCCCCGTTTCCCCCTCTCTCCAGTTCATTATCCTCTCTTCCTCTTCAGTCTGTCTCTGCGCTACTTCCCCCAACCTCTTAGACTTCTCCGCTCATATTTACCCCCTCAAACCCGCATCCTCTACTTCAGTCCTCCCCTACCCCCAAACACCCGATTTCCCAATCCCAGTGAATGAAACAGAAGGGAGAAGGGGGCTTGAGAAACAAGTAGAGGGAGAGCGATTCCTCGAGTAGAGGAAGAGAAAAGGGAGAAGTAAGAGGTAGCAAGGGGAAGGGCATCGTCACTCCCCAGTGGCGCCCCCTCCTCTCCGCAGCCACTGAGCCATAAATCTGAGCGAAGGCGGTTTGGCCAATGGCAGAGTGACTCGTAAATCGGTCTGTCAAGTTCAGCCAATGAGAGGTGGCGTTAAATCAAGTGCTGTCAGTGCTTAGCCAATGAAAGACCCTGGGCTGACCATAAATCTGCCTGTAAGAGACAGCAGAAGAGAGAGAGTGTGCGAGCGAGCGAGAGCTGCCCGGGCGGGGGACTGGAGCTTGGATGAGGGGGGAGGGTGGGGGGAGGGGGAGAAGGGAGAGAACGAGCTTAGGAGAAAAAAAGGCGATAACAGAGGTACAAGAGATGAAGACAGCCAACAGCAGAGACGGACAGATGGAGAGAGACAAAGAGAGGCCGTAAGAGATAGCGTCAGACAGTCAGCGATAGAGCTCTGGCGGGAGACTGACAGAGATAAAGAGACAAAGAGAGACAGACTGATTCACACTCATGAGCATACAGAGTTGCCAAACGCACACACTTCCCAAGACATGCGTGAGCCCCACACCATAAGGGACCTCGAGCATGGACACACTTGCACCATGGATGCCCGCAAGATACAGAGCCAAAGAGATAATATTGCTTTTCTTCCGTCTCTTCTTCTTCACTTCAGCCCTATCGAAAATAGGGGAGGGGTGGTTGTGTGGGGTGGAGGGCAAGAGAGGAAAGGGTTACTTTCTTGCTCATATCCTATCCTCCGTGGTCTTAAACTCCAGGGTTTCCTCCTGTGTCCCCCTGAGTCATTTTTTCCACCGACTGAAATTGTGAAGTCCTTCCTGAGGTCTAAACTCAATCCCTATTGCTGCTCATTTTTCCTTGCCAAAGCTTTTGAATTGCCTTCAGGAAATATGAAAAGTTAACCCTTTTACAATCCTTCAGAGAATTGTCAATTTTTGGAACCTTAGAAGGTCCAGGCTGTAAGGTCTTCTAGGGATCACCCGGTCACTTGGTTCTCATTTTAGAAAGGCAGCTGTCTTGTGGTGGTTACAGACGTGGACGGGCACTGAAGTCAGACTCTCTGCATTCAAATCAGCGTGGTACCAGTACCATTTACTAGCTATTTGACCTTGGACAAGTTACTTAACCTATTTGTTCTTTGATTTTCTTATTTGAAAGAAAGAGATTATAAAAGCTACATCATAGTGTTTTTGTGAGGATTACATGAAATAACATATTTACATAATTTAGAACAGCGTTGGGCACATGGCAAGAGTACAACTCCCTCTTTGTACAGATGATAAAAACCTGAGGTCCAAAGTGGTTCAGTGACCTGCTCAAGTTCACAGAGCTAATTTCAGAGAGACTTGTTGGGAACCCTGGTCTCTACCCTCCCAGGCTGATGTTCATCACTGGTCCTGCTGTTCACCCCACCTGTCTGGGTCTCTCCCTCAGTAATACGAACTTGACTCTGTTTAGGCTGCTGTCATTTTTGTGGGAGGACACCAGGAGCGCATGTTCTAGATAAGGAGACAGGATTCCTGGGCCCTGGGAGTGTGTTGGCTGTGAGGGTATTGATTTGTACACCGGGCTATGATTCTTTCTGCCCTTGTCTGGATCTCTCAGGATTCCACTTTGTTCTGTAAAACCATGGACTTGGGGTTGGGGAGGGAACAGTGTGCAGCCAGTGTTCATGTGAACATAACTGTCACACTCCACCCCCAATGCCGGCACTGTGCCTACCCTCCCTTTCTCGTCTCCACCTGCCACCCCCACCCTCCACCCCACATCAAGTAGACAATAAATATCTCATGAATAATAAATATCTCATTATTCACATTTCTTCCTAAGCTTTGGGGAAAAGGGAGAGTGCAAATGCCCCTGGGTCTCCACCTCTGCTGGTCAGGGGTCTCTGGACTGCTAGTCCTGCTGGCACCTTCAGTCTTCAGTTAGGAAGCCAGAGAGCAAACACGGAGAACCAGCGTCACCTAGTGGCTACAAGTGCTTTACGGATGCAAGTGCTCATGTACACGGGTGATAGGCTATTAGTCTTGCTAGAAGAAGGGAACATCGCTGGTATGGTCTCTCCCCAGCCCGGCACCTGAGTCCTCTTAACTGGAGTCTCTGCTCTTTTTTGCTTTCACAAGCTATGATGATAGGAGCAGGTCTCGGGGAAGTGAGGCCCTGGGCCCGGGTGAATCTGCTCTGACCAGTGTGAACCTACTAGGGTAGCTGGAACCCCTGTCTGCCATTGCCGCAGTTAAAGTCATGTCCATTTCCACTGAGTCCTCCTCCATGACCATTCCATTAGGTTAGGGCAAGGGTCGGGGGGCTGGACTACTGGAGTGGACATCAAAGCTGGATTACAAAACTTTTCAAACTGAATCAACCTGTCTGTGGGCATGGGGAATGCTGGCAGCAGTAGTTAAAGGGCCATTTCTGAGGAGTTAAAAAGGCCGGCTAATCCTCTGAAACCAACTCTTGTGTTTTATACCTGGAAACTCCTCAGCGGAAGGCTATGCCCCAGGCTAGCTGCTTCCTGCCTCTGCTCTGACAACCTCCCTCCCCCCAGTCCTCAACTATTAGATTCCAGCTCCAGACCAACCCTGGCCTATTTCTTTCTTTCCCAGACACCACATCTGAGCATTAAAAGCCAAGAATTAATTTATTAATAATGTTCTTTGGGCAGCCTAAGGCTGAAAGAATCATGGAGGGACCTGGCCTTTTTGAGGAGAAGGATAATCTGTGACGTCCACAAGTCTTACTTTCACCTACTCCCATGCCAGCTGGCCACTTTGGTTCCAGAAGAAATAGTCTTGGGTTCTGTGGCCGGAGGTATAGTCCTAACGGAGCCTGCAGAAACTCTGGGGCCCTCGTTGTAGGATGGAGCCGTATGCTTGGCGGAACTGGCGGTTCATGGCTGCGTAGAGCACAGGGTTGATGCACCCATTGAGCCAGGTGAGGTTAGCAGCAAGCATGTGGAGAACCCGGGGAGCTTGAACCCTGGCATCCAGGATGTTGAGTAGCAAGAAGGGGATGTAGCTCAGGGCAAAGCAGAGGAACACGGCAAAACACATCCGAGTCACCTTCCCAAACTCTGACGAGGAGTCTTGGGCTTTTTGGGCTCCTTTGGTTGGCCTGGCCTTGGCAGGTGCTTCTGGAGGACTTCCCTCTGCCATTTGCTTAGCCATCTTGCTCTTGCCCTCGTTTCCCACTTCGGATGAGTTCCCCTCCAGGGTCTGGGTGGTGGCAGCACTGACTGGCTCAGATGAAATCCCCTCACTGGGCCCTCCCGATGACAGGCCACTGTCCAGCTCCTGGAAACGACCGGGCATGGCTTCGTCTATCCCAGCCACATGGTTAGAACGGACACTTGCCTGGCGCAGCTTGTACTGGTCCAGTGCCTGTGCTGCTCGCTTCACCTGGCGGTGGATGAGGCAATAGAAAATGCCAACACTACTGAGCCCAAGCACAAAGTAGATGCCCATGAGGATGGTGGTGTAGGGCCGGCCTCGGATGCGGTCAAAGCTGCAGGTGCAGACTACAGGTACCAAGATATAGATATGCCAGAGTGGGGCGAAACTGGCCACGCCTACTACCCAGGTGCCCACCAGGGCCAGCACTACCCCCTTGGCACTGAATACTTGGGGAAAGAGCTTAGGATGGGCGATGAGGAGGAAACGTCCCAGTGCAATGAGGCAGAGGGTGAGGATGGAGACAGAGTTGGAAGCAAAGAGGAGGAGCCCAAAGACCCTGCAAAAGTTGGCACCGGTGCGCCAGTGCAGGTGGAGGTAGGTGTCCACTGAGAAGGGCTGGAGCAAGGTGCAGTAAAGCAGATCAGCCAGTGTGAGGTTGGCGATGAGTAAGTTGAAGCGGGTACGGAGCTTGGGCTGGATGGCCAAGGCCAGCAGTGTGAGCACATTGCCCAAGGTGCCTGTCACAGCCACCACTATCCCCCAGCTAACCGCAACATAACGATAGCCCAGCACAGACTCATGGTAGCAGGAGAAGTTGGCATCAGAGGTGTTCCACATGATGGAGGCTGAAGAGGCATGGGTGGAAGAGGAAGAGAGTCAGAACTTGGACTTGAATTTGTCTCTTGAATAGCCCTGGGCCCCTGGACACGGGAACTGCTCCTAGAGATCACCTTAACTCATCAGCCTCCATAGCTGTTCCCCTTTATCCCAAGATCCCTCTCCCTCTCCTTGGGCTCTCTTAGTCCTTTCCCATTATCAGTGATTTCCCCAAATTTTTATCTGAATATCTCTTAATCTCTGTGCCCTTTTTGCCCCCACAAAGCCCAAGCCCCTTCAATATCCTTCCAGAGGCTCTCAGTAACCCTAGTGCCCTCCCACCTTTCTAATTTCTTCCTCACCCCCAGAGACCACCCAGAAGTCCCCTTTCTATATTCAGAATGCCACCATAGTCCCCCTGCCCCTTACCACTACATACACATACAGACCTCAATTTTTTTCCTTTTGTTACCACCTGACAGATGAGGAGAGAAAGCAAAGATACATTCACCACAAAAATACACACCTGAGTGTCTCAGCCTTCAATTCTCTCTCCACTGGAAAAAGTAGTCCAACTTATACAAACAGCACCTCTTTCTGGAGGGTACTCAGGCTTCAAGCAGATGGTAACCTCCTCTTACATCTCCTGTTATACTAGACTGAAGAATGAGAAACTCTCCAGTTACCCAACCCTAGCCACTTCCTTCCTCACCTCTGGTCCTGCTAGTTTTGTTTTGGCTAGTGAAATTTGGACTTCTCTGTTGAAATTCCCCGGCACCTCACCCCAGAGCCTTCTTACTCCTCCCTTTATCCTTCCTGAGACCAAGTCTGGTTTCCTTCCCCTGTTTGCAAGGCAGGACACCTATTTGTTCATTGACTAGAATTGTCATTAAGACAGAGCACCAAGACATCTGAGGCACTCTTAAGGGACAAAGGGACAAGGCCAAGTTCTAGAAGCAACTCTAGGCAAAAGCCTTGGACTTGTTTGGGGGAAACATTGCCTTCTCTCTCTCCAGGGCTCAGAGATAGTTCAAGTCGGAAGGTCCCATGGGCCACCCTAGCATGTCTGAGAAAAGGAGTTTTATAAAGAAAGGTGGGAAATGAAACATCCAGGATTCAGGCTTCTCTCCTCACAGAGGTTCAGGCTCCTATTCAGTCATCCATTCATCCACTCAACAAATATGTACTGAGTACCTACTAAGCACCAGACTCTGAGCTTGACATTGGGGATGCAAGGAGGTATGACACACAGGCTTGCACATAGTCTAGCAGGGAAGACAGATATGTAAATACAGAAATGCATAATTGAGTCTCTAAAGCAGAGATTGACAAACTTTGGTCTATGGGCCTGCCATATCTGGCCTGCCATCTGTTTTTATGTGGCCCATGAGCTAAGTTTTTTTATTTTATTTTATTTTTAAATGGGTATATAGGTGCTTAATATCCTCAATTTGGCCTCTTGGCCAGCACAGCCTAAAATATTTACTATCTGGTCCTTTAAGAAAAAGTTTGCTGACCCTCCCTCTAAAGTATAGCAGGGGCTTAGAGAAAAGAGGGGTCCGGGTGGTACAGTGGTTAAGAGCTCAGCTACTAACCAAAAGGTCAGCAGTTCAAATCCACCAGCTGCTTGACTTGATGGCAAAGGGTTTTTTTTTTTGTTTGTTTGTTTGTTTGTTTTTTTAGGGAAAAGAAGCTGTGAGCTACTAAGAAGGAGGTCAGGAGAGGGTTCTTGGAGAGATGCCTGAGCTGGGTTTTGAATGAACGAGAGTTTTTCTTTTTTCATTGAGATAATCAGGAGAGGGACATTCTAGACAGCTGGAATAGCATACATACAGGCACAAAGGTTTGGTAAAGTTGGTATCTTGAGGAACTGCATTTAGTTTGGTAAAGGTGGCACAAAGGGTATGAGGTAGGGAGCAACAGAGATCCTGAGAGGTGAGCAGAGGCAGAATTGAGGAGGGCCTGTGTGTCATGCTAAGGAGCTGGGATTTTATCCTGAAGGCGATGGGGAGATTTGCACTCAAATAGCTGTGAGTAGGGAGTGAAGGCATGCAGCAGGTCAGAAGTGAGAAAGACCAGTAAAGAGGCACCAGTTCAGACAAGAGATATGGAGGGACCGAGTTAGGTGAGGTCCAAGACTAGCTTCATGGGCGTGCCACCCGTGAAGCCACACAGGCTCCTGCACTTAGAAGGGTCTGGTGCTTGGTTTAATGCTCTGCTGTCATTGTCTTGAAATTCTCATACTTTTTAAACAAGGGGCCCTGCATTCTCATTTTGCACTGCGTCTGCAAATTATGTAGCCAGTCCTGGTTACGGCAATGGTTGTGGGAATGGAAAACAATGATTAGGATCCATAGGTTGTTAAGAGGTCAAATAGGACTTATTTAGTGATTTATTGGATGAAGGGTTAGGAAAAGGGAGGAACTAGGATGACTCCCAATTTTCCAGGTGGATGGTATTGCTCGTAATCAGGGAATGTGGGAGGAGGAGCAGGCTTAGGGAAAGGGGTAAATAGTGAATTTAGTTTTATACCAACAAGTTTGAGGCACCTGTGGGGTCATGCTAGTACCCCAGTCCCATTAACCCCAATATCTTCCAGTCCCTATCCCTCTCTCCATGTGTGACCCCACCTACTCTCCTGTAGGGTCACTCTTGCTTCTCATCCTTCTGGATCTGTAGTCCCTGATTTGTTTGGAGCTATATCGAGCTGAAAAAAATTACCAAGCTCCTTTTTTGGGTTCCTTTTCTGAACGTACAGTAAACCCCCACCCCCATCCTCACAATTGGCAAACCCAAGAGGCCCCCATTCCCCTCTCCTTCCTCTTTAACAGTAGCCATTCCACTTTCCCTCCCCCTTTCTTCTGCAAGACTGGGAAGTGGGTACAGAGGGGGAAGTGAGCAAAGATGATACTAGTCAGGAGGACCCCACAGAGACGCCGAGTTCTGGTCTGGGCTTTTTCGGCTGAACTTCCTGGCAATCAGTAGGGCTGGGGGAGGGCGTCACAGGGTTACTGATGGCTCTTGGTAGTGTGTGGTGGAACTGAATTCTGAAGATAAAGAGGAGACCCCTTCTGCCACACAGTTGGCCAGAGGCAGCTGAGCAAAGTGTGCTCCCCTGTCCCATACACCATTTAGGGGGTCCGATGAGCAGTTATAGATGTCTGTAAATGGCACTGTCAGTTCTTTAATCTTGTAGTACATATGAGGGCTCAGTGATCTTTAAACTTTCCACCCAAACCTGCTTATTTTGCATATGAGGAAACAGGTCCAGAAAGGGCAAAGGGCTGATCAAGGTCATTATTTCTATGGGTGTGAGCAGAGCCTAGAGCTCAGATTCCCAGTCCTCGTCCCCATTTCCTCCCGTGCCTTGCATCTCTCAGAGGTGAGTTTCCCACCAGAGGCACAAAAGTCTGGATTCTTTTCTTTGTCTGAGACTGGGTCTAGCTCTGTCTCCCTAGAATCGCGAGATACACCACCGGAGCGTGTTGGTCTAGGGGAGACTCTGTTTCCGTGTCTTTGGCGCCGCCTAGTGGAGTTGCGGCATATTCTCAACTGCCGCCGCCGCAATCCGAGACACTGACTCCAAAGGATTCCCGGGGTCCGCGTCTACACCTGAGCTGGGAGGGAGTTGGCGTGGATGCGTTGGGATACCCCTGCTCGCTTTGCACAACCCTGGTGGTATCTTGCTTCTTCTCACCCACGTTTTCCCGCCCCCCTCCTCCTTCCAGCCGCCTGTGTACGGGTCACTCTCACCATACAGATTGATCCCCGGATCGATCGAATGGCTCCCAAAACAGCAGAAAAAGACCGAGAGTATGAGTCTGCGGGGCGGAGGGCAGAACGAATCCAGACTTTATTGTCAGGGAGAGAGAAAAGGGGAGGACAGAGGGCTGGGGCTGCTACATTGTCAAGCAGAAAGGGGTGATGGGGAGGCGAAGACCCTCTCAGGGTCGGCTGCTGGAAGGGCTGCCGATACGGAAATCACAGAGAGGGGGGTCATGCCCCTGCCCGAGTTGTGCAGTGGAGCTGTCTGGTGGGTGGGGACGGCCATGAGGTCTAGGAGCTGGGCTGGGGGAGGCTACAGACTTGGCGAATCCCGCAGAAAGGGGAGGGACGGGGGCGAGGCTTCTATTGCTTTTTGCTCACAGTTTTGCGGAAGGCGAGGCGGGGGTGGGCTTGGACTGGACACCCCTTGCCCCCCTCGGTACCCCTTGGGCGATGGGTGCTGGTGAAAAGAATGGAACCCGGACTAGGGAGGAAGAAGGCGAGGGAAAGGTGTATGGGGACATCTCCTTGGTCCCACCAAGTGCCAGAGATGCCCCCAAGTGCTGCCCCTGCGATGGGCCGGGCTAGACCTGGGGCTAGGGCATGGTGCGGGGCGGGCACAGTGAGGTCGCAGGCGGTAAAACCAAAGTGCTTATGAGGGACCCAGGATCCCCCCTGCTCCCCTCCCCCTGCGGAGGACGGGGGTGTTCACGGAAGCGCTTCAGTTTGGGGGTAGGGGGCCGGAGTTCCAGAGTCTGCTTATTGCCAAGAAAATCCATTTCCGCCCCCTGGACCCCGACCATGGCTTGTGAACCCCGTTTTGTGCTAGGTTTGAGGGGGAAGGGCTGGATGGACATGGCTTTTGGGAGGGGGGTGTCTCCAAGGGGGCTCGAGGGTGAGACGGCCCCCCCCTTTTCTAGGGGAGAGGGAAGGGCAGGGGGCGGGGTTCCCTGAGATCTGGGGTGTCCCCCCCTTCTGAAGTCCCCCTCCCCCACCGCCCCTCCCCATTCCTGGAACCCCGTACCTGGGGTGGGGGGGAAGGAGAGAGATCATTCAAGGAGTGCCAGGAGGAGGGGCGGGCTGGGAGCCCGGAGGCCTGGGTCCCGGCTGGAGGCAGGGAGTAGAATGGGAGGGGGATCAGGGTTGAGGTCAGTAGGGGGAGAAGAGGATGGGTCCGTGCGCAGTTCGGATGGGCCCGGGGGCCGGGTGGAGCAGGGGGTGCGTGATCGGCGGTCCCTGGAGAAGAGGTGCGGCTGGGGCTGGACGCAGGGACAGTGGGGAGCCTGCTGCCGCCGCCATCACTGCAGCCACCGCTAGAGGGCTGGGGAGCAAACCGCCGGCCAGGGACTTGGGCAGCTCCTTGGAGAAAGTCAGCGTGCCCTGCAGGGGGGCGGAGGAGGGAGAAGAGAGAGAAAGAGAAATCGTCCGGCGATCCTCCAAACCCCACCTTCCCCGGACGTGGTCCCGGTCCCCTCCTCCCCTCCCTGGTCCTCCCATGGCCGAATTCCCCAGCAACCAGGTCTCACCGCCAGCTCCCCGGCGCCTCTAGGCTTCTTATGACGGCTCAGTAGCGGGTTGGGCTTCCCGGCCACGCCATCTCGGTGCCGCCGGCTGGAGATGTGCTGCGGGGGTAAGTGGGTGCGGGGGTGAATAAGCCACTGGAAAAGGAGCAACCGCAAGAAGGCAGGACCACAGCAATGATAACCACGCCTGCAAGCACTGGGCCCCACCCCCGCCCCCTTCGTCAACACCTCCCGCCCGCCCCACCCCCAAATCCTTTGCCCTCGAGTAGATTTCGACTCACAGCGACCCTATGGGACAGAGTAGAACTGCCCCATAGGGTTTCCAAGAATCCGCTGGTGGATCCGAACTGCTGACCTTTTGGTTAGCAGCCATAGCTCTTAACCACTGCGACACTAGGGCCACTGCCCCCAGAAGTCCCTGAAAAATGGCCCCCACCCAAGCTTCCTGCTGTCCCTCACCCTTTAGAGGGTGGAGCTCCCTATATGCGCTGGGAAGGGCCTTGAACTCGCCTGTTTCAGCTGGACCTCCGAGTTGACCTTGACATTGCAGATCTCACAGTGGAAGGTTCGGTCCTGGGCTGGGGCCTCTGGTTCCCCGGGGGTGGGGGGCCCCAGGCGAGGATAAGCTTTGATAGGGCCCAGCCCACTTCGTGCCTCCAGAATTGTCTTGTGTTTAGTACCTGGAGCCCACAGACAGTAGGAGGTAAGGGGTGGAGGAAGAATTCTCCAGGTCTACTAAGCCTCCAATACCCACATTCCCCATTACAATGTAGGG